TACCTTATTACCTTTATTTTTTTATGTTTTCTTGTTTGTGCAACCTAGCAGTTTAAATGTGAAATAATCCTGCTGGGGGTCAGTAGCTTTTAGTTTTAACACCTTAATTTATTTATTAAAGCAAATTTCACAGTCATTCAGCGTTCAGACTGTAGTTTTAGCACAAGATTATTTTATTTAATTTTTTAGTAAAAGTTTTAAAATATGTAAAGGACGTTTTATGCCACAGCAGTCTGATTGGCTGTGGAGCACCTCTCGAGCGCATGGCCAAATTAATCCCCCCTCCCCCCGCTCCTCCTCCAAAAGGTGTCCCATTCACTTTTTTAATGGGCTCCTCCTCTGACGACATGACAACGTGGGGTGGACAAAATGGAATTAGTTTCTTGCCAGCACTTCACGGATCGTGTCGCTCGGCTCAGAACTAGGATCAGCCTGGACTGGGACCCTTCAGCTGAGGAGCATCAAGAAGAAGAGCACTCTGGGAAAGAAGCTGTCTGCGTCAATTTGGAGTGGACCCATTTGGGCACAATTTTACGCACGCATGTTACGCGCCGGGACCACCTCAAATTTAGGACCTATGTAAATATTTGCACGTGTTTATGGAAAAAAAAAACATTTAAACCGTGAGTATTTGGAGTCTCGCATATTTCTTCTGTAATCTCTTTTTGTACTCTGTCTTTGAGTCAAAATTAGTGCATTAGTCATGCTCTAATCTGCTTAGCATGTAATACTTTGTTGGGATGTGAAGTACATGCCTGATAATATGGTAAAACAATGTGCAATTGATCAGTTTACAAATAACAGGCAACACCCTGGGATGTCCTCAGTTAACTTGTGTCCCTCTGCGCACTGAAGACAGGACTGAAAACACAGTCCGCAAGTTAAGTTTGATTTATCCCTTATGCTGTTTGAACTGATTATCATTTGATCTAAAGCACCCATTTGTTTCTGAAATCACCAAGGAGATAAAAAGCGCCTAAAACTAGCTGTCAGTTTTGTGATGAAATGACGTTGACAGTCATAGACTTCATCTTTCACAGCTAGAAGATTCCCAGTCACCCCCAAACCTCAACTGTATGCTTGTGTGATGCTGAAGTAGTGGCTCTCCATTAAATAAGTTTTATTAAGCCATTGATGTTTGATTGGACTTTCTGCATGTGTTTTCTTCTCCAAGAGCCACTGACTTCAATCCCATTTCTTTAGTGACTTTTTGATTGACATGGCAACCACAAAATATCCCTTTTTACATGCATATTATGTCCTGATGATTTTGTAATCATGAGACTTTGTTAATTGATATTTGATGAAGAGCTCCCCAAGTTTCCGTCCCCCTCTGAGACCCAACACTGGTGTTTATACAGTGGGGTGCTAATGAGGGCAAGGGGCTCGCTTCTCTGGTCCTCCTGTCTTCAAAAACTCCAAAAGGATGACCTCACAGGAAGTTTTACCTCCCAATTCTACCACCCACTTATTCACTGAAAGCATGCATGTATAAGATTTCTTGGGTTTGCCTCAACTTATTACTGCAAATCCAAAACATGGTATATTTTATTGATGGAGTCATCTTTCAAGCCAGATTATCCTAGACTGAGAAATTAAAGTTGTAGTTATTTTGGTCTACCCTTCACTATACAATTATCAGTCAGAGTCAGAGATTCTTTATTGTCATTCGCACCTCATGTGGTACATGTGGTGGAGCGAAATTATGTTCACAGGGTCCCAGTTACATCCAACAATAAAATGTATAAGAAAAACAATGATAACATCTAAGATATGAACTAAGAAAAACATCAACTAAATATACACTAAGCACTCATAACATAAAAACATTACGTTGAACATCAGCACAAACTTGAACATGAGTCCGTGTAAGCAGATGAGCACACATAAACACACCAACATTGAAACAGATCAGCAGCAACATGAAACAGATCAGCAGCAACATGGTGTGATTTTTTTTCACAGTGATTATTCTGGTCAGATATTCATGAGTGTAACAGCCTCAGGGTAGAAGCTGTTCCTCAGTCTAGTGGTTCTACACTTAATGCTTCTCAACCTCCTTCCTGAGGGGAGCGGGGCAAAAAGTGTGTGTGCTGGGTGAGTGGGGTTCTTCATGATGCAGGTAATCTTCTTCCTGCATCTGGAGGTGTAGATGTCTGTGATGGTGGGGAGGCTGACTCCAACAGACTTCTGTGCAGCCTTCACCACTCTCTGCAAAGCTTTTCTTTCTGCAGCTGTGCAGCCTCCATGCCACACGTTGATGCTGGAGCACAGGATGCTCTCCACTGCACACCTGCAGAAGGAGGTGAGGACTGAGGTTCTCAGAACAGCTTGTCTCAGCCACCTGAGGAAGTAGAGTCTCTGATGAGCTTTCTTGATCAGGCTGGTGGTGTTGTTGCTCCAGCTGAGGTTGTCATTCATGTGTACACCCAAGTACTTCTAGCTGGAGACCACTTCCACCGCATATGGAAGCAATGTGACAGCCTGGATGGGTAGCTGCACAATCATATGTGAGCAGAGTAAACAGGAGAGGGCTCAACACACATCCCTGAGGAGAGCCAGTGCTGAGGGTTGTGGTGGTCTATTTGTTAAGAAGTCTAGTACCCAGTTGCATATGGAGGGGCTTAGTCCTAGTGTGAATAGTTTGTCCATCAGGGTTTCGGGGATCATGGTGTTGAAGGCGGACGTGAAGTCCACAAAGAGCATACGGACGTAAGAGTTTTTCTGCTCCAGGTGGTTAAGCGCAGTGTGGACCACAGAGGAGATGCACATTCTTGTGCAATAGTTTGATATCTCGCTTGATCTCGCATGATCTGTTACACTGGAGAATTTGGAAGGACTGTCATCTACTAGCACTCCATTTTAAAGCCCCATATCTATAAAATTCACTGATGTACGGCCATTTTTGTGTAGTCTAACGTTGATTATTTGTGACAGTCATCTTGAATTGGGTTACTCAGAAAGTTGAGGTGTAGAAATGCAGCCAATAATTATGTTCTGAGAGTTTATAAGAAGTTTGTCCAGTGGTTCAAGCGATATGACATTTTATCTAATTACTGTATTTACTGTAAATATAGTCTACTTTGTTATTTTCACGTGTTTAATGTTAATTTCGCATGTGTTTTTCACTCAAAAATATTTACAAGAAGAAAAATGAACAGAATGTCTCACACAAGTTGTTTTCTAATTCAACTGCTTGTTTGTTTTTCTTTGTTTTAATTATCAACAGATGATTCTAAATTATAAGCACATCCTGTGGTTGCTTTATCTCTGTGGAGCTGCAACAGGTAAATCTACCGCCACTTTCTCTTTTTGTGGTCCACTCTGTCTGTTCTTCCCTCTCTCTCTCTGTCTGTCTCCCTCATTTGTCTTGTTCCTATTCACTCTCTCTCTACCCTTTTGTGGAAACTACACATTTAGCTGGTATGCAATGTTAGAATTTTCTCATGGTACAAAAGTGAGTGATATGCGGTGTACACACCTTGAAAGCTAGTAGCACCTGTTGCCCCTTTGCCCCTGACTCCGTCTCCAAGTATGGATACATTTCAGTTCAGTTCCCAGTCTACAGGTTCCATAGAAGTTTTTAATTGCACTTGCTAACGAAACCCCTTGTTAACGTTTCATGCCTTTCAGATTATCCCACCAGTGTTTCCTAAGCATTCCCTGCATTGCTCCCTGTGAACACCCCCAACTCCATACCTTGCCCCTGGCTACCCCTTGGGAAAAACAAAACAAAAAAACACCCAAGTTGGGAAAAAAGGCTTTCTGGTTCCTCTCCAAGGAGTTTAGTAGTGGTGGTCTCTTGCACTTCTCTCCACTTACAGTGCCTTGCGAAAGTATTTGGCCCCCTTGAACTTTTCAATACGTTAATACTGCAAGTCTCTTGGGGTATGTCTCTATCAGTTTTGCACATCGAGATTTATACAAGATTTATACATTTATGCGGAGACTTGATTACACACAGGTGGATTCTATTCATCATCATCAGTCATTTGGAACAACATTGGATCATTCATAGATCCTCACTGAACTTCTGGAGTGAGTTTGCTGCACTGAAAGTAAAGGGCCGAATAATATTGCACGCCCCACTTTTCACTTTTTTATTTGTTAAAAAGTTTGACACATTCAATAAATTACATTCCACTTCACGATTGTGTCCCACTTGTTGTTGATTCGTCACAAAAAATTTAAATTTTATATCTTTATGTTTGAAGCCTGAAATGTGGCAAAAGGTTGAAAAGTTCAAGGGGGCCGAAGACTTTCGCAAGGCACTGTAAACATATATGTCGCATAAAACTGAAATTAGACATAAGACATTAAATTTGAGTCATATATTTATTTGAAAAGGATTCAAGGTTCTTTATTTGTCCTACACACCGCATGTGGTGCATGTGGTGGAACGAAATTGCGAACACAGGGTCCCAGTTACATCCAAAAAGCAATTACATTTTTAGTGTTTGCTATACATGATTTTTATTTATTTATTTTTTGCCTATGCTATAATTTCAATTTGTACATCTATGATTTTCCAGCTCATTTTGTCTGTGGATCTACCTGCCATGCAAACACACCCTGGTTGTAGTTGAAAGAGGGCCTATTTGAGAAGGAACATCAACAGAGGCATAACATGCAGTGACACAACCATGACTCCTTTATTAAACCAGTTATTCGGACTTCATACAAACATGCTGCACATCCAGTACTCTGTAGCAAATGTATTCCCACACCCATCATTTCAAGGATGAGGTTTAACTTTCCAAGCGCCCCTTTCAAAACATGATGCATGTTTTTTTTATTAGGCTGGGTGTAGTTCCACCCTCTCCACGCTAATGAGCCAGGCATTTTATATTGTCTGTTTACATGTGTTGGGCCATGCATAATCAGAAAAAAATTATGTTTTTGGATGAAAGGATAAATGAAAGAGAAAGGCAGTATTAAAATGTAATTTAGAGAACCAAGAGCTGTATTTAACTCATTTCCTTTTTTCTTTTCCCTTTCAGCATTTAAGTCATCAATAGTCACACCAGCCTCTGGTTCTCTCTCAGGGAAGGTGGTCCTTCCCTGCTTCTTCTCAATCCCAACCTCACCGCCACTCTCCTCTCCCTATGGAGCAATCATTTATGGCACTGATTATGTGTGGATTAAATGGACCAAAATAGTTGGCACAGTTGAAACCACGGTGCTGACGGCACAAAAAGGGGTCATAAAGCTAAATTCCCGCTACAAGAAACGTATATCAGTGCCCAGTCACCCCGAGGATGTCGGCGATGCTTCACTGACGATAGTCAAGCTGCGTGCCAGCGATGCCGGTACTTACCGTTGTGACGTCATATATGGCATTGAAGACACTCACAGTATGGTTGACCTTGATGTCTCTGGTAAGCTCCTGCCCTTGTCATCTTGGAATAAAACTAAAAGCATGAAAGTTGGAGAAGGCTAGTTCTACAAGCGCATGATAGAGAAATGCTATAGAGGTACTGATAGAGATGGAAGGCCCTATGGGAGTCTAAGTGCATACTTGGATAGATGCAGCTACACAGTAGTTACTATTAGTTAATAACTACAATTTTTAGTAGTTTTCTTTTTCTTTTGAGAGGTCAGAGTCAGAGTCAGAGTTTCTTTATTGTCATTCGCACCTCATGTGGTACATGTGGTGGAGCGAAATTATGTACGCAGGGTCCCAGTTACATCCAACAATAAAATGTATAAGAAAAACAGTAATAACATCTAAGATATGAAATAAGAAAAACATCAACTAAATATACACTAAGCACTCATAACATAAAACATTGAACATCAGCACAAACATGAACATGAGTCTGTGAGCAGATGTGCACGCATGAACACATCAACATTGAAACAGATCAGCAGCAACATGAAACAGATCAGCAGCAACATGATATGGTTTTTCACAGTGATTATTCTAGTTAGAGATTCATGAGTCTAACAGCCTCAGGGTAGAAGCTGTTCCTCAGTCTAGTGGTTCTACACTTAATGCTCCTTAACCTCCTTCCTGAGGGGAGTGGGGCAAAAAGTGTGTGTGCTGGGTGGGTGGGGTCCTTCATGATGCAGGTGGCCCTCTTCCTGCATCTGGAGGTGTAGATGTCTGTGATGGTGGGGAGACTGATTCCGACAGATTTCTGTGCAGCCTTCACCACTCTCTGCAAAGCTTTTCTTTCTGCAGCTGTGCAGCCTCCATGCCACACATTGATGCTCGAGCACAGGATGCTCTCCACTGTACACCTGTAGAAGGAGGTGAGGACTGAGCTTCCCAGACCAGCTCGTCTCAGCCGTCTGAGGAAGTAGAGTCTCTGATGAGCTTTCTTGATCAGGCTGGTGGTGTTGTTGCTCCAGCTGAGGTTGTCATTCATGTGTACACCCAAGTACTTGTAGCTGGAGACCACTTCCACCGCAGATCCTCTTATGTTCAGGGGGGTGTAGGTGTTTTTGTTCCTTCTGAAGTCCACAATCATCTCCTTTGTCTTCTTCACATTGATGTGAAGGTTATTCTCTCTGCACCAGCTCTCCAGGTGTTCCACCTCCTGCCTGTAGCTGGACTCATCATTACTCATCAGGTGATTCTGTCTTTAAAAATGATGGGTCCAACTTTCTAGGGTACTTGTCCAGTGGATGCGAGTATGACCTCAATTATTCCTGTCTTCTTGGACACCTCCTTGTCATTAGATATTTCTCTTTAGTATAACACTAAGGAGAAATATCAAGTATTTTTACTCTCCTATATCTGAGCCATTGACAAATAATACTCTTGTTTAATATCAAAATATAATGTCTGTGTTGGGGAGGGGGTTTCCAATCCTTACCTTTTTTATTGTTGGCATTAAATGTTTCTGTCAAGAAGTATTGTGAGAGACAGAGACAGCTTTTGTGGGTGGATGAGGGGATGCTGGGGGCTGGGATACTTTTGGTTTACAGTCTGCACATCCTCCTTTCCAGCTATTTGCAATGTTAATTGAGACTATCAATCAAATCTTCTACGTCTGTTTACCGTCCACAAATATGGGGATTTCAGGGCCGTGGCATCATGTGCACTTATCTTGTTCATTTGCGGTGAGCTGTAGAGTATTTCGCATATCCTCTTGGTTTATTGCAAAGCTCCTCCTTTCCAAATAAGCCGAGAGACTCATTTATTTTATTCACAGCGTGCGCTTCACAAGTCACTTGTCAGAGTTAACCACTGTGACAATATGCTAATGAATTCCAGATGATTACTTCAACTTTATTTTTTTTAATTATGTTTCATCAATAAATGATTGTTTGTGTGTGTGTGTGTTGCCAGGTGTTGTTTTTCACTATCGACCAAACTCTGGCAGATACACTTTAACCTTCCAAGAGGCTATTCAAACTTGCCAAAATATTGGAGCAACTATTGCTACTCCTGCCCAACTGAGAGCAGCCCATGCGGATGGTTATGAACAGTGTGATGCTGGATGGTGTTCTGACCAAACTGTCAGGTTAGCTTTGGCTCTTAACACTGGTGTTCATGTATTTATTGTATATAGTGGCAGTAAAAAAATGGACTCAGCTACCCCTTCATTTAGCATATGCATTGATTTTTTTTTTCTGGTGATATCAAATGCCATTTTTTAAAGAAAATAATGTAGTTTGTGCAACTTTTTGTTTTCTTTATTTGTGCAGATACCCAATGACAAGGACAAGAAGGCTCTGCTTAGGAGATCTGAAGAACAGGACAGGCGTGAGGTCATATGGAAAAAGGAAACCTACAGAGACCTACGATGTATACTGCTTTACTGACAAACTCGATGGTAAGCAGTTTAAGCATTGGCAGGTTTTAGCTTATGCTCGGTCACTTTATTGCAACATTTCAGTGTAGACAGAACAAAACTTTTTTTAATATACATTTTGTTGCACTAAACAATTGCACATTTGTTTTTATGGAGCTGGGATTGCAGAGACACTTCTAATAATTAATCTAAAAACAATCATTTTCTTTTTTGGAAAGTAACCAACAAAAAATGTCTTTGTTTTTGTTGTGATGTCCTCTCTTCCCAGCCCTCAGATTTTTATACTCATTTTTCGTTATGTTTGCTACTGCTGAGAGAAACCAAGTAACTCATTTTTATTTGCTTTCCTTTGGTGTGAATTGGTTCAGAGCAATGCTCAGAAATGTTTGTGTTCATATTTATTTTAAAACATAAATTAGCATCCTGGACAGATGAAGATGAAAGTCTATGAATGTCTTTTATCAACATGCCCTTTTTTTTTGCAGGAAAAAAAAACCTCCAATCTTTTTTTATTTGCACCAGAATACTGTTGCTATTGATCCAGATTGCTGAAAAATTCTTAAGTTTAACTAACCACAGTTTTTGTGAGACAACAAATTGTTTGTACGGTATTCAGTCTTTTACTGTCATCAGGTATTTATGAAATGTTTCTGCTTTTTAATTCAGGTGAAGTCTTCTATGCTCCTGTTCCCCATAAGATGACTTTTGACGAAGCTCGCAAAGAGTGTGCAAAACATGGCGCAGACCTGGCAAGAACTGGTCAGCTGCACTTTGCCTGGAAACATGGATTCCACCAATGCAATTATGGCTGGGTCCATGATGGCAGTGTACGACTTCCGATTGTTAAGGCCAGTCCGAGGTGTGGGCGAGGAAAAACTGGTGTCTTTTCCTTGTATCGTCACAGGAATCAGACTGGCTTCCCAAATCCTACAAGGAAGTTTGGAGCTTATTGTTTTAGAGGTAAAATATTATTCATATTGCTACACTTTCTAATACTCACAGGAGACTCTATGCCCTTTTGTATACAAGTTGGTTCTAATTTTTCAAGTCTTGATGGAGCTTTTGTGACATTATTGGGTTAAAAATAATAAGTATACCAGTACCACCACATTATCCAACCTACTTTGACAATTCTTGTTTCAAGAGTTCTTAAATAGCTAAGTGACACCCACAACTTCTCTCCATTCCTTTATTTTGTAGAATCTGTATCTTTGGAGAACCAACATTTACAGTGTGAGATCTATGCTTTTATACATCAAATTGAAATCAATTAAACAAACAAACTGAAATCAAACCAAGCTAACGGAAAAATACTTTAAAGAAAACATATTTGTGCAGTTCTTGTCTATAGTTTGACCAGGAATAGTTAAATTCCAGTTTTGGAGTCAAAATGGCAGTGCAGAACATGTGCTAAACTAGCCCTTGGTTAATACACCAACTTTTTTTCTTTCATTTAACAGCACAGCGATATCATCTGTTTTATTTGCTGTAGATTTTAGAGGATAAACGTTAAAAACTCTTATTATTCTTATTACTGCTTATATGGGAGTAGTAGTAACTAATGTTTTCTAATGATTTTCAGTAGTTCTGCACCTTTAAGCACAAATGGGTGCACTCTGTTGTACATGGATACAGTACAATAGATGATGGAGATTTGCTGTTTATGGCAAAGGAAAAAAAACAAGAAAACATAAATAGGAGTTTTTTTTCTTCCACTTTGAAAGTTTTGAAGTTGAATTTAAGTGGAGATCATAGTTGGAAGTAAAGAATGAAAGGCTGGATTTCACTCTGAGCTTGGTGAGTGTGATGTAGAACTCCTCTGCAAGTCCAAAAAAACTTATTGAAATATATCCTGACCTCAGAGTGCCAAACAAAGTGAGAGTGAATGTGAATGTTTTTATAAGACACTGTGTTGCTACTGACTGCAGATATGGAAGTACAGTGTTAGACTGTTTCTTGCATGCTCTAGGTCATAATCTGTATCTGTTGAATTTTCATATCTAAAATAACAGAGAGTACCATAATTGTGGGCCCAAGCCATTTTCTGACTGTTAAGAAGCTATGAGCTCATTTTCTACATTCATTTTCTTCTGCTGTCCCACCATTTGATTTTCTGCTTCTTTACACAATGACCTTTCCTAGATTTGACTACGTATAGGCAGAGTATATGGGCAGATGTTAAAACCTTCTGCAGCTAGCTTAGACTTCTTTTCTATTCAGTTTTATTTTTTTTTGTTTCATGCCTTATTTGAGACTTCCAGTCACAACAATGGTACTGGGGGGGGGGGGGGGGACTTTTTCACAAGCATTACTAGTTATGTGCCAGACCACTCTGTCCAGTTGAACTTACTAACATTTTATTGCAAATTTTTGACTCGCATCCATTTGTGTGAGCAATGTTATTATAAAGTTAAAACTTAAAAAAAAGTTTTATAAATTATACCAGTATTCTCATGTTAGTATTTCTTCCAAGTGACACAAAAAGTCCAAAAGTTTTTCTTTCGAGTTTACAGTAATTTTCATGTTTTCTTTATTTCATCATTTTAAATGTAGCAGTAGATCTCTTTTAATAGACACTTTGTGGCATGCTGAAACTTATCAAACGTGGCTGTTTTTAAGTAATCAGTATTCCCAGGGCAACACCAAACGATAGATGATCGTTACCATTTAGGAAAGTGGCAAAGTGCCACACCTCACAGCCTTTTTAGTCTCCCTATCTGACCTCCTTTGAGTCTTTCATCTCTCATTTCCTCTGTCAGTTTTGCCTCTGTCATTCTCACTTGCACTTATCTGAGCAGACATTTGGATAATGGACGAAAGCTACTGCTGGTCTTCTAAATTCAGTCATCCTCAGTGACCTCTGACATGCCCTTTCCATCTTTACAAATGAGAGGTTGAACAGATAAGCTGACCACTGCATGGCCATTTTCTGCCCCTTGGGCCATGCTGACTCGCAGTGATAAGTCGACACGGAGTTCAGAGGGCACACAAACATGCCAGACCCACCTCCTGCTCTGTGTATGTCATGTCAGCTCTCTCTGTTGGGTTGTATTTACACCTTGGTGTAAGTGCTCTTTTAAGTACCCCCGTTTGGTAGGACTCCGTCATTTCCTGCTTTTCAGCTTACAATAATGTCTTGAACGAGAAATATTATCTAAACTAATGTCACTTAAACGACACAGAAAGACAAAGAAAGGAGAGCTGGATGTAGAGGGAAAAGGAAGATAATTGCTCCCTGATTAGTCCTGGATTGGCTTGAAAGAAACAAAGACTCTGTAATAGCAACAGCTCATATTTGTTGGTGAAATAATGCCATACAGTGGTGCTTGAAAGTTTGTGAACCATTTAGAATTTTCTATATTTCTGCATAAATATGACACAAAACATCATCAGATTTTCACAAAAGTCCTAAAAGTAGATAAAGAGAACCTGGTTAAACAAATGGGACAAAAATATTATACTTGGACTTAACAAAGTAAAGTCAGGTCCTCTGGACGGATTCTTCTTGTTGAAATGCTTCATCTTTTATCCAAAATACATATTTTGGAACTTTATTTGTGTGTACTGATGCATGCTCAATAATCCAGGTAGAAAAATCTAAAAAAAAAGTTAAATCTGGTCCTCTGGACATTAAAAAAACAAAGCAAAACTTTTTTTTTTTTTTTAATGCCCAGAGGACCAGATTTAACTTTTTTAGATTTATTTGTTGTGCTTAGGGTCATTGTCTTGCTGCATGACCCACCTTCTCTTGAGATTCAGTTCATGGACAGATGTCGTCACATCTTATGTGATTCTTTGTGTATATTCCTTTGTACTAAAACTCTGGCACAATTTCCTGTGGGATCAATAAAGTTCTATCTTATCTTATCTTATCTTATTCAGAATTCATTGTTCCATAAATGATGGCAAGCCATCCTGGCCCAGATGCAGAAAAACATGCCCAAACCAAAATACTACCTCCACCATCTTTCACAAATGGGATAAGGTTCTTATGTAGGAATGCAGAGTTTTCCTTTCTCCAAACATAACACTTTTCCTTTAATCCAAAAAGTTCTGTTTTGGTCTCAACTGTCTACAAAACATTCTTCCAACAGCTCAATGTTCTTTTTGGAGAGCAGTGGCTTTCTCCGTCAACCTTGCCATGCACATCATTGTTGTTCAGTGTTCTCCTGATGGTGGACTCATGAACATTAACTTTAGCTAATGTGAGAGAGGCCTATTTGCTTAGAAGTTACCCTGGGGTCCCTTGTGACCTCGCCATTTATTCCATGTCTTGTTCTTGGAGTGATCTTTGTTGGTCCACCACTCCTGGGGAGTGTAACGATGGTCTTGAGTTTACTCCACTTGTTCATAATCTGTCTGACTGTGGAATGGTGGAGTCCAAACTCTTTACAGATGGTTTTGTAACCTTTTCCAGCCTGATGAGCCTCAACAACTCTTTTTCTGAGGTCCTCAGAAATCTCCTTTGTTCGTGCCATGATAAACTTACACAAACATGTTGTGAGGAGCAGACTTTGATAGATCCCTGTTCTTTAAATCAAACAGGGTGCACACTCACACCTGATCATCATCCCATTGATTGAAAACACCTGACTCTAATTTCACCTTCAAATGAACTGATAATCCTAGAGGTTCACATAATTTAGCCACACAAATATGTAATATTGGACCATTTTTTCTCAATAAATAAATGACCAAGTATAATATTTGTGTCTAATTTGTTTAACTGGATTCTCTTTATCAAATTTTAGGACTTGTGTGAAAGTCTGATGATGTTTTGGGTCATATTTATGCAAAAATATAGACAATTCTAAATGGTTCACAAACGTTCAAGCACTACTGTACTTTTGAGAGAGGACTTAAATGTTCCTGTATAAGGTTAAAACAAAAAAACATGTCTCCCACCTTACATAACAGATGCTTTTGTGAGAGATCTTCAGTTCAAAGTGGTCGACAGCTGGCTTTATGTAGTGAGTTCATGCCATCAAGGAAGTCTTTGCGCTTCTTTTTATTGGTCTGAGTAAATACAAGTGCATGGAAGGATGTAAAGACAGGGATGAAGAGGGACACGTAAGCAAATCACAAGATAGATAAAAGGGCTCATTAACAAATTGGTTTAAATAAGCAGTCACAGCAAGTTTACTTTACACATCTGTAAATTATTATTACAATGATGACAAATTAAAATCAGTTGTAAAATACAGGTAGTGTACTGTGATAAGAAACCAAATAAATGTGAGAATAGCTGACCAAATCTACATCACTGGATTGCTTAAAGTTTAATAAATTAAAGTTTAACTGTTTAATTTATTTGTTATAGTCCTGGGAACCCTTTCAGACAGATCTGGAAATGTTTGGAGAGACATTCAAAGTATACATTGGAAACAGAACACTTAAACAATGAGCTCATTTGCTATAGATGTCCAGTTTGTCATGTGCAAGAGAACACTATTAAACTGATAAGAAATTCTGCTCCTTGCTTAAGTAAACGTACATTTACAGTTTGCTCTGTAGCATTAGCCCCTCCTTTAAGACTATTTGGATCATTCCTCTTGTTACTGGCTATAAACAACGTTAAGCGTTAAGAGAGGAAGTAATTTGCACTAGCATATCTAGGAAGTGTCATAATCGGCATAGTGTTGAACCCAGAGTGCAGACAGACACGGAAGAACTCGAAGGTAAAATAAAGAAATCTATTTAGTTAACAAATCTCAATATCAAACATCTGATGCTGCAGCAAAAACTTGAAAATAAACTGGGATCAGGGCGGCACGGAGGAAACTGAACATGGCTGTGGGAAGCACAATCCACAGACTAGGTGGAAACACAGAGATGCTGAACTTAAAGGGACACTAACAAGACACAATGACAAACACCTGAGTAAAGACAATGAGGAACAGGTGAGAGTGGCAAGAGCTGGAGCTGACTATGGGGGACAAACATTAGAAAGGCTGAACAAG